TTTATATATTAATGCGGGATTTTTTCATAATTGTTTGCAAACTCTGGCAACTACTTTTACTTTTTGTTTGTTTTTTTTTTATTGTTAATAACTTTTTGCTTATATAAATTACTTTGAAAACGGAGTTTATAAAACTTTAGAAAATTTAATTCTGATTTGGAACTGATTTTCCTTGGGTTTTATAATCATAGTTTTCAAATACTTCTTTTCTCCTTTATTATTTCTATACTAAATTGTGCTTTCTCTTTCGGCTTTGATTTCAATGAAAATTTTTGTAAATATTTATATTTTATAATTTTAATATTATTTTAACATTTTTAAGTGTTTTAAAGAGTTAATGGGTTTCTATTAAGCATATGAAGTTTTTTTGTTTAAATTTTTACTATAAATATGAAATGTTTCTTGTTTTTTGTTTAATATTTATTTTTTTTTTATAAAGATTTTAACAAAAAAGTATATATAGAGGGATTTCAATAAATAAATAACAAATATTTTGTATTATTTATTAAATAAATAAATATATTTTCTTTTATAATAAAAACATAAAAATTACAATTTTAAGCTACAAAATTTAGTTTAATTTTTATTATAATATAAATTACCTTAAGCTATCATTTTAAAGTAATTGTTTAAACACTCACTTTAAACTGATAACTTTTTAAATTAAACCAAATTGTGTAGTTTTGTGTTAAATTGTTTTCTTTTAATAAAAAAAATTATTTGTAAAAGCAGGTAAATAGTTACAAATTTTTAAGGTTTCCATTTTTGGGTTTTACGTTATTTGTGGGATTTTGTTTTTCGTTTTTATTAATATTTTTTAACAAAATTTTACTAACAATTTGTTTTCTTTTTGATTTTTTTTTATTTGGTTATGTTAAATATTTATTTAATTTTAAATAAACTTTGTTTTTATTTTCAATAACAAAATATTAAAAATAATTTGTTAAATGTTTGGCCATATGTTAAGAAAGTTGGTGTTTAAATAAATTTTTCCTATAATTTATGAAAAATTGTTTAATAAATATTATAAAAGTGAATTGTTTAATAGATAGGAAACTTATAGAACAAGAATTGAAAAAAATTTTATTAAAAATTTAAATTTTGTTTCAAACATTTTAAAGTCTAATGCAAAAATCTGAAGTTTAAAAGCTTTCAATTCAGATTGTTTGATTTATAACAATTTTGTAAGTAATAGGAGAATTATTATATTAGCCACAAGTTCGAAGGACCATTTTTAAAGTATTCGGAATATTTGAAGAAAAATTTAATACTTTTACTAATAAGTGCTAAATTTACAAAGTTATTGAAGTAATTTTAAATGATATTAATCAAAAATTATCAATTAATTCCAATTATCATATTTGGCTTAAGTTCGAAGGACCATTTTGAAAGGCAATTTAAAAAAATTATTGTTTCATAGAATAAATGCAAACTATTTTGTAGTAATTCTATTAATTCGAAGATTTACAATTGATTTCTTTGGTCTTAAATGTAAATTTAGTATTTTTACTTTTACATTTTGAAAATAATAGTAAGTTCGAAGGACCATTTTCAAAATATTTGAACTATTTAGAAAAAATTCTATACTTTTACTTATGAGTGCTTTATTTACAACCATATTCGACTTAATTTATACTATAGAAATCATAAATTATGAATTAAAGCCAATTATTGTATTAGGCTTAAGTTTGAAGGACCATTTTGTAAGGCAATTTGAAAAATTAGTTTTACATAGAAGAAATACGAACTATTTTGTAGTAATTCTATTAATTGGAAGAATTATGTTCGATTTTTGAGGTCTCAAATATATATTTAGTCTCTTTCCTTCAAGTGTTTTTAATTCATAGCAAAATTATTGTAGTTTCTACAAGTTCGAAGGACCATTTCGATTTATAAGGTGAAAAACTCTATATTTTTACTAATGAGTATTTGATTTATAAAATTATTCGATTAAATTTAAACTATAGAAAACAAAAATTATGAATTAAAGTCTATTAGCATGTCAGGCTAAAGTTCGTAGGACCATTTCAGAAATACTAGAGTTTCTTAGAAGAAATTAGTGGAATACAAACTGTTTTACAGTAATTCTAATTATTGAGGGATTTATATTTATTTCTTTAGATCTTAAATGTTTATTTTGTCTCTTTATATCACGAATTTGTAAGTCATAGCTAAATTAGTATATTTTCTACAAGTTCGAACGAAGGACCATTTTTAAAACATTAGAACTATTTAGAAAAAATTCTATACTTTTACTAATGAATGTTTGATTTATAAAGTTATTTGTGTAATTTATCATATTAGGCTTAAGTTCGAAGGACCATTTTGAAAGGAAATTTGAAAAAAATAGGGTTTTATAGAATTCTATTAATTAGAAGATTTATGTTTGATTTTTGAGGTCTCAAATATAAATTTGTAAATCATACCAAAATGATTACAATTTCTACAAGTTCGAAGGACCATTTTTAAAGCATTCCAACTATTTGTTAAAATGTTTATACTTTTACTAATAAGTGCTTGATTTACAAAGATATTTAAGTGAATTTAAACTTTAGAAATCGAAAATTTGTGAATTAAAGTTTTTCAAGTTATGCGTTTGTTTAGGTTAGGTTTTAATAGTTTAACTTTATGGGCTCGTAGGACCATTTTCTTTTGCTTATAGAGTGTATGTTTGTTCTGTAACTAGGTTTCGTTGATTAGGGTTATTTTGAAAAAGTTCTATAATTATTTTAACAATGTTAACTTTAGCTAATAGTAGTCCTTCGATTTAGCAGTTGAAACTGTTTTGAATTAATTTCTCTTAATCAGTTCGCGCTCGTTTATTTATTTTAACTTTGTTTAAAACAATATTTCAAAAGTTCCTCAAACTTTTTTACAAATTCTTTAAAAATATTGGCTGTAATTTACTATTTAAGTGAAAATCCATATTTCTTACTTAAGAATGGTCCTTCGAGTCTGTCTTTTTATTTTAATTTATTTAAAAACTATTTTTTTGTTACTTTTTTAACGTTACATATGCAGAGTAACAAGCACAAAAGTTAAACTGTATCTAAATTGAGATTAAAAATGGTCCTTCGAACCTTAACATTATTATGGAAGAAATAACTTTCGTTGTATTTCATTAGCACTAGATAACCATTTAATGTAGCTGTGAATACAAATTACGCTTTACATCGAGACAAATTTTAATTTTGACTTGGAACACCGGTTTCCTATATACGTGAAAGAGTTAATAATGGTCCTTCGTAAAGGCAGTTTCTATAATTTACTTTTTTCCAAAGATTTTTATATTTTTTTTCAATTTTGTATATAATTTTTATTAACTATTTTTCGTGGTAATCTAAAGTTTAAAGGTTCGAAGGACCATTTTCCTTGAAACCTTTAGACTGAAAGTGTTTTTAAGTAATTTGTTTAAAATCTGTCGTTATATTTCTTTAGTCATAAAAAGAAATAGTTCTACAAACCTTTAAACTAAAACTGTTTAAATATACCTAAAGAAATGGTCCTACGAACCTTAATACTGAAAAGGTTTAGTATAAATTTCGTTAGTCCTTCAAACCTTCAGACTAAACTTGTTTTAAGCATTTCCTTTCTATTAAGCAAATGGTCCTTCCAACCGTTTAATTCATTTTAAATTTAAACAATTCACTTTTATTTTGTTATATATAAAATAAAATTATTTTCTCTCTTTTTCTTTTTTTGTTCATTCACAAGTAAAATTCTTAACAATTATTTCTTTCAAATTTCTTTTTCTTGGATTTTTTGGGGATTTTGTTTTGTGCGCGTATTTCTTTTCAACTATTTCTTTATATTATTGTGTTTATTATCACCCAAATTTTGTTAATATAATTGTGCTTTCATTTTGAACTTGTGGAATGTTTTATTAGTTTTAATTTTTTCATAAAAAAATATATATAAAAAAAATTTGTAATTTAAAAAAAAATAAAATTTGGCATTTTAGTAAATTATTGCAAACAAGCGGAAGACTTAAAAAAGAAGATTTATTTAACAATAAATTAGAAACAATTAAAGTAGTTAGGGAGGCTTGAAATTAGATTAATGGCAGATAGAAGATTTTCTTTTAAATTAAGTTTTAATTTAGTTTAGATTTGCAGCTTGAAAACTTATAAAATGAAGTTTAAGTTAGTTATTAAATTGTAATTAGTTTATGAAAAACTGTTTAAATTAAATGAGTTTTTTTTGTGTGAAAAGTTTTAATTTGAAAATTTTTAGATTTCTATTTATTACTTTACTTTCCTTATTAAATGCTTTAGGTGGTGAAATTTGAGTCTGTATGTCTAGTGTGGTGATTTTTTAAAAATTAACTTTATTTTACTTTTTTCTTAGATTTTTTTTTATTTTATTAAAAAATTAACTTATAATTTCTTATAAAAAAATTGCTTGTTTTTTTGTTTTATTAATTTATTAATTAGTCTTCCTTAAGGCTTAAATAATTTAAACAAAATTTGTGTGTGTTTCTTAACTTTTCTTTGAGTGTATTTTCTAAAGTAAGTGGCTTTCTGTTTAAAAAATTATTAAATTTATTCAAAATCTAAAGTTTAGTTTAAAGTTTTTCACTTAAAACTTATTAAAGTAATTTTGGTTATTTACTTTAAATTTGTTTTTTTCTTCTGGAGAAAATTAACTAATAAATTTAAGTTTAAGAACATTTTTTCGGAGTGAATTGGTGGAAACTATAAAGAAAAGTTTTCACTTAAAGTTTTGAACATTTTTGAAATATATTTTGTTCGATCTTTTTAAACTGAAAACATATTCCCGGATTTAGCTGAGAACTTTCTTATTATTAAAGATTTCCTAATGATTTATTTCTTATTTTTAAAGAAAATTTAATTAATTAAACCAGGAAATATATTGTTTTATTATTTACAAAGAAATTGCTTATGATTTGCAGGTTTTTTTACTTATTTTCTTAAGAAAACAAAAGTATTACGAGATTCTAGTCCAAAAAATATTTAAAAATTTTCCAAAGTTGGTTTTAAAAAACTAAAATCATTTCCCAAAAAGGGAAATTTTTGTTCAAAACATTTCTTTTTCAATTATATTATCATTAATTCTCTTTTTATCCTAGTTTATATTTAAGCTGTTGTTTTTGCTGCTGTTGTTGTTGTTGTTTTTTCCTTAAAGAATATGGTTAGTATTTTTCATCATCAGATATTTCCCTTTGGGAATTCTGTAATTCTCAGGCTTTATACTGATGACTTCTGACGGCACAGCATAAACTTAAAGAGAAAGTCAAAGCCAATAATTCCAATAAAATAACACCAGCCGTTATGCCAAAGATTAAGACCCAGTTATCGTATATGAAATCGATTAGTTTATCCACACAACCCTGTTTTGTAGGTAGAAAAAAGTTATCAAATTATTAAAATTTAAAATCATTTCTTCTTACCTGTTGGTGTATGGCGG